ATGAAAAAAACTTGCGTATGAAGTATTCAGCCGCTCTGCTTGCTCTTTCTCCCCCTCTTTACCGGCAGCCCGCCGCCCCATTCTGTATCATAGAATACATCGCCACGGCATTGCGTAACTCTGACAGGGAGGGGGCTTTTGGGAAGCGCGTACTTAGTAGCAAAAAGAGGTCTCCCTTCTACAGCCATCAACAAACGACCCGTTCTACAGCTTCCGCACGTCCTGTGTGTACATGATCCCGCGAAACGCAACACGCGCGCGAGAGCGAAAGAGAGCCCCACGTCTAAACCGACAGAACCGAGGAATATAAATTACGCGTGGCGGTAACGCTGCTCACTTCTTGCTGCTGCCGCCGCCGCCGCCACCTCTGACACGGAATCATCCATCACCGTGGGCGCTCGCTGTCACGGAGTGATTTTTGGTCTCTTCCTGGCGCCGTGCCCTACGCCTTCCCAGCTGTCTTGCCACCGCCTTTGCCCCCGACCTAAATCCCACCGCTGGCTGCACATCACACCGAAGACACATCGGTGGCCGCTGCGTTGCGCGGGTTGACTCCCGCTCTGAGCAACGCAACAGGCAGCAGTTGTTTCCCCACCAACGGTTAGCCAAGCTATTTCTCCGGCACATAAGTATCCCTCCCCCCGCCCTGCGCACAAAAGCTGCGGTTTCTCGACAAGGCAGAGCGTCCAACTCTGTCCGTCGCCTTTAGGCTTCCATCCACATATTCAGACCTATAGCTCGACGAGAGGCCGTTCACTGCAGGACAGAGCCGTCGAGGAGAGGGGGTGACGGGAAATGGCAATAGAGACGACCGGGGGGGCGGAGGGCGGGGGGGGGAATACGTTGAATGCTTTCGCCCCGGCGGTCTGTCGGTCGTGAGCAGTTGAAAGGCAACGGACGTGCACGAAGGTATCATATTATTACTTTTCCCGCATGGTCGCCATGAAGCGTGTTCGGTAATGACCTACGAGAGCAACATGCATTATCGACATCATCAAACCAGGAGGGGAAAAAACTAAAACAGATGGTAGACGGATCCTCAAAGAGGAGGTCCACAAACAAAACAAGAACCCTGCTGTATTACAAACATAAATTACATACCACCGTTGCAACCTCGGTCTCTTCGCACCTCGTAGTACTGCAGCCGGGCCGCAAGGGGATATATTGTTGGTCTTCCGGCAGACGTGATCTAAACAAATCCTTGAGCTCGTAGCACTTCTCCAAATAAGCGCAACACATTTCACTTTTATTAATTACGGCCAGAAACACCTAGAGGAGGAGCAGCCCACCCACCTCGTGCGCACCCCCCCCCCCACCAGCCATACCGCTGCTGTACGCGGGCTCCCCCCTGTTGTGGTCGTCCCCTCGGTCCAAAAAATTGTTCTTCAACAGGGCCACCAGCCTGGC